AAAGAGGCGGGAGCCCGAAGACAACTTATCACAGACATCAAGAGGAGACAGTCATCATTTTTCGTCCAAATTATGAGAAGAGGAAAAATTGAACATATTGTGACCACTGGAAATATCTGTGGAAGGAGGGATAGAGGAAGACAACGAGAGAAAATTCTTGACAGTCTTCCTGCATGGCATGGAGGTGTGTCAGCACACAAACTTGATACATGCTGCAGGAGATCGCAGATTGTGGAGAGACATAATCGCCCAAGCCAGTCGGTAAGGCACCTGATGATGATATAAGTTAAAACTATGACATTCTTCCAGTATTCAATTCCCACACTGACAAATGTTATTAATGACAAACATGTGCATCTTTTTATCTTATCTTTTTAAAATGTAGACCTGTGTGCTTTTCTTTTTATTTTCAATGGTTATTAAATGAGATGTTACATTGTCAAATTAATTGTAGGATTGTCTTGATACAAATTAAATGTTCACGTACTTTCATTTTTATTCGTAAATACATTGTTTAACAATTGTTGTGATTTTTTGTTTCCTTTTTCTTTAAGTTGTGCTGTGTTGGACAAAGAAGTAAACAAATGTTGACATTCTAAAACATCTGTACATCAAGAAGGATTGGCTAATAAACAGCATCTTGTCTCAGAAGCTGAAATAATTTTGTCATATTCAGCATCACAGTGGTCTGGAAAAAATGATAGTAGCAGAAGGCACGGTACTATATAAGAGGGGCAAGGGCTAACCAATATAAAGAAGGGCAAAGGATACAATTGACTCCTTGTATATGAAAGTGCACGAGGCGGGAAAGCTGGTGAGAGACTGAGTTTCTTTCACGCAGACCGCCATGAGGGCGACATTATGCAAAGGACCTGCTACATGATGATGATGCACATCAATAAGTAAACTAAGTTGGTATAGGACCCCTGAGTGTCAGTGGGCATCAGGTGAATGGTGCCTGACACATATTTGTACAGGCCAGCCAGACTGGATAGTTGGTACAGTCAACATCACATTGGCCATTTTTAACTTCTCAGTTTCATGGTACTCCACATTAGGCTGGGTCGACCTGGGAGTCAAGTTAGTAAATCAAATCCAACTTTCCTTGTGTGGGTTCTGGGGGCCCCATACTGGGGGAACAACAAGAACAGACCCACTCCACTGTTGTACACTTAATTGTACACTCTTTTGTATACTTTATATTCAACCAAGTATTTAGGCCTAGGGTGCCTATTCAACATTCCGCTGGATATCTCCTTGATGGATGTGCTACAGTGAAGTCCTGCATACTATAACTGGCACACTTGGCACAGCATCATGTAATACAGTTGTTATCTTTACAAGTCAACAATAACGCTTGTGACAGGCCACATAAACTTTAATGGCTTTAAAGTTACACGTCACAAGATGATGATGATTATTTAATAAAACATGTACGATAATAAATCTCCATTATCTACTCTTATGATATACAATCTTTCTCAATGGACTCCTGCCATTATAAGAAATAAATAGACATTAAACTGTCTCCCGTAAGCAACGGTTAATCCAAACCTCACAAAGAGGGAACGTCCTACTTGGACAAGGGAAATATCTTGACTGCAGAATCCTTTGTGTTCTGCAGGAGCCTTTGTGTTAATCGCCCAGAATTCAATTAGCTCGTATCCCAGGTAACGACCCGACCGTGGCTGCTGTGTGAACTTTTCACCTGTCCTGTAACCACTAGAAGAAACTAACTCTTGGCCAATAAGATTACAACATCCACCATCTCCCCCCCTCTCCCCCCCCCCCTCCTCTCCCCCCCCCCCCCCCCAATTCCTCCAAACAAGCATGTAGCACCACAGTGCTTGGTATTTCTTCTTCTTAGCAATCACCAGCTGTAATCTCTGGTGGAAAATCTTTTTCTTTGTTGTTGTTGTTCATGTTTCTGTACTTTGGTCATGTTTCAGAACTTGAGTTTGCATACACATCTTTTTACAGATCTGATTATTTAAATACAGACTGTTGGTTTCTCCCATCTCAGGCAGATGCACTCTGACTTCAAAGGAAGCACCCCAAATTAATCACTGTTTACAACATGCTTGTTGAGGGGGGGGGAGATGTGGCTATGGTTCTAGTTTTCATTTTAATTATAGGGTCCCAGAACCTAAAAGGGGAAAACAGTTAGCATCACTATGGTGTCAAATGTCTGGCCTTTACATATTCAAATCTACAGTATAAAATTTAGTGGCTGGTTGTTTTGCTTTTTTTTTTTTTTCATCCACTCTCCACATAATTCCCATTAAATTCTTTACAAAAACAAAACCAAAAAAAATTGTCCGGTAGGCATTTTATTTTTTAATAAAGCTGAGTTAGTTTCCAGAGTGTAAGTTCTTCTTAGTTCCAGGGTGTAAGTTCTTCTTAGTTCCAGAGTGCAAGTTTTTCTTAGTTTCAGAGTTTAAGTTTTTTTTTTAATTGTTCATCACAGTTACCGGGTTTGTTGCCCATTATTGCAGTTTTCTGTATCTGTCTTGTGCTTGTCGAGTGGCTTAAGATTCAGCTACATCATCAATCCATTTCTTTCTTGGCCTTCCTCTCAACTTCTGCACACAGACATTCTTCTGCACAATGTTTGAAACATACTGCTTTGGTTGCATTCTAACTCTATGGCCAATCCACTTTTTCTCTTTCTCTAAATATAATTTAGACACTGTCTTGTTGCTACCTTCTCTCTATGCTAGTATTTGTGACCCTGTCCTTTCTATGTTGTTGGTGAGCTTATAGAGCAACATGAAACACCCAGTAAAACAAGTCATTAGAGAGCCCCAGATGAGATGGTTTGGCCATCTGATGAGAACGTCCTGATCTCAAATGCCACACAGAGCTATACTGAAGATACTGAACAGAATAAGGGAAAGACCAAGCAAAATATTGAATGACAGCATCAAGAACAGCCTTATAGAAATGTCGAACAACTTGCACAATACATCAGAAAGAACACATAGAAAATCCTTACAGCTCCAACTAACACTTCATTTAGGCTACTGGAGGCAGAGACGAGCAAAATTTGTATGTAAAACAAATCCCAATAATGTTGGTTGAGGAGACTGACAGACCTGACCAGTTAGTTAGGCACTTAAGTATCACTGTTACCAAGTATGTTGGAAAAGTAAACCAATTAGTGGTGTTCCCTTCGAAATCAGAGCGCATCTACTTGAGAGGCAAGGAAGTAACAGTCTGCATACAAATAAGACAGATTTGTAAAATAGTTGTGCAGGCAAAAGTGAAGTTCTGGAACAAGCCGAAAGACCAGAAGTAAACCAACCACAGAACTTTCTGCCAGAGTTTACAAACAGCGAAGGCCAAGAAGGGAAGAAGAAGATTAATTTTTCCCAAAAATCTGTTATTTAAAAAAAAAAAGATTCACATTACCGGCACATCAGAAAGTTGGTGTTAGATCCATATTTTCAGAGACTCATAACTTAAAGAGTAATGAGGTCATTTTAATGCAGACCATCTTTACATCCCGGAAGGGGGGGGGGGGGTCTCTGTGGCGAAGTAGTCAAGTCATCTGCCTTGTGCTCGAAAGGTTCTGGGTTCATTTCACAGCTACGCTGTTCAGTTCACGAGTGCAATCTTTACGGAGATCCCTGTGGATCGTCACTTGGGCTACAGAGTTTGTGCCTGATGTGATGATCTCGGTAGATGGCTAGCCTCTGTGGAGAGAGATCAAACCATATGGGATATAACCTGGTGCAATAAAGTTGATTCTCTCCACTTTAACCTTTAACATCTTAGGACATTTCACGGTCCTCAATTTATTTTACACTGGGTTGACCTGTAAGTCCATATCAATGATAAAAATCAACCTCAATTAAGATTTGAATGATTATTTATAGAACTTGCAGATTTTCTGGGACGTCAAACAGATTATAAATTAATAAACATGATGGTTTTGTTTCTAACAGATAACAGATAAATACATTTCACAAGCTGTGAATGTGCAGGTTAGAAAGCATAATGAAGAGCAAATTCAACATTCAATTGTGAGTGAAGTGATGAACAACTAAATTTAACATGCTGACTTTAACTCAAAACTGCTTGTCTCAAGTCATCATTATGAACAATCTGTTCTTTTTTTTTTTTCTTAATTTGTGTCTGTATATTAACAAAAAACATCTTCCTCAACCTCTGTAGTATCTAAAATTGGTGGGGAAAAGGGTGGGGAGGGCGGGGGGTGGGGGGGGGGGGGGGGGTGGACTGAGTGCAGCTTATAAGAATAATGCAACCAGGAAGCTTGTCAAAAGAAAAGACTCACAGATCAAGTGAATGTTTTTGCCAGGGTCTTTACAAACATATAAAACAAGAATACTTGATGAAAGAAACAAAATGAAGGTTTCTGACATAAAAAGTTAAATGGGTATTAAATGATAAGGGGGTCAGCTTTATTTGACCGGGTTGGTCCCCCCCCCCCCTCCACCACATGGCTGTCTCCCAGCACACAGCAGCCGTTTGTATGCCATGAGCATCTCACAAAGCATGCAATCACAGCTCTGTGGGATCTCTCAAATCCCTGTGCCAGGCAGGCTAGAGAAGGGCAGTACAAAACCAAATTCAAAACCATCAAAACATGAGGAAAGATGCATAGCTACTTCACCACAGAAACTACTCCACAGAGAAGTACACAGAAAAGTAAAATTACTCACACAATAGAAAATTAAAAACAATAATTAAAGACAAGAAAATGAAAATGTGAAGCATGCGTGTCAAAGGATAGTCAAGTCTCTCGGGAGAGGAGGGCATAATTTTTTTTATTTTCAATTTTTAAAAAAATATGTCCACTATGCTATCATGACTCTCAGAAACTGAAAGATACAAATAAGAATTGATATTGTAGAGTACAGGCCAACAACGTGGGAAGCTAGATAAAGCAAAATTAGACATGGACAAAATACAGACATGTAGCAAATAAGACAAAGTATTGTCAACTACAGCAGAAATACAGGCAGACAGATTCTTACCCTCCCCCTCCTGTGATATAATCATAGCCACCACCGCTGACAACTGCGTAGCCGTATCTTTCACCCAAAACCACAGGCTGGTCATGAGCATAACATGACAGAAGTGCCTGCAGACGGTTCAAGTTAATAATGGTGTCATCATCAGCAATCAGGATCCATTTGACAGCAGAAAGCTCCGGTGTATTAATGATTCTTTTAATTATTGCCATTGTCTTTCCACAGTGACCTGTGTCAAAGGTAAAAAAAGAGAAATGTAGGTGATAACTTGTGGTAATGATAACTTTAACTAGAATTCTTCTGTCTTCTTCAATGCTGCATATTTAACTATGCAGTATTAGGTCTTCAATATACCACCCCTTAAATAAGCAAAGGTTGGTTATGTTTAATACACCCTGATTGATATATGTGGAATATTAGATCCTCATTAATGCTCCGTCTCTGTTCTGGAGAATTAGTTCTTCATTGGTGTTTTTTCTGAGCTGCATACATCTTCACTTCCCTGCATTCTGTGGCAGTGAAATCCTGCAAAAAGTCCTGGTTGGTTGCCTGTGTCTCGACTTTAATCTTAATCTTTCCAGGGACCTAAGTATGGTATGCACTGTTAAATGCCTGATCTTGCTTACTGCATGCATATTGTTGGTTCCTTGCCTCTCATGCAGATGCTTCGAATTTGAAGAAAAATGTCTATGTTAGCCAGGTCTTCGGTAAGGAACCCATTTCAAGGATGACCAGGATGAGTTGCAGAAAGATCTTGACCAGAATCAGCTGCGGTCAATGTGCAACTACAGCAGGTTGCGGGTGACGCACTACAGCAGGTGGTGGGCGACTCACTACAGCAGGTTGCGGGCGACTCACTACAGCAGGTGGTGGGCGACACATTACAGCAGGTGGTGGGCGACTCACTACAGCAGGTTGCAGGTGACTCACTACAGCAGGTGGTGGGCGACTCATTACAGCAGGTTGCGGGTGACTCACTACAGCAGGTGGTGGGTGACACATTACAGCAGGTGGTGGGTGACACATTACAGCAGGTGGTGGGCGACACATTACAGCAGGTGGTGGGCGACACATTACAGCAGGTGGTGGGCGACTCATTACAGCAGGTGGTGGGCGACTCACTACAGCAGGTTGCGGGTGACTCACTACAGCAGGTGGTGGGCGACACATTACAGCAGGTGGTGGGCGACACATTACAGCAGGTGGTGGGCGACTCATTACAGCAGGTGGTGGGCGACTCACTACAGCAGGTTGCGGGTGACTCACTACAGCAGGTGGTGGGCGACTCATTACAGCAGGTTGCGGGTGACTCACTACAGCAGGTGGTGGGTGACTCACTACAGCAGGTGGTGGGTGACTCACTACAGCAGGTTGCGGGTGACTCACTACAGCAGGTGGTGGGTGACTCACTACAGCAGGTGGTGGGTGACTCACTACAGCAGGTGGTGGGTGACTCACTACAGCAGGTTGCGGGTGACTCACTACAGCAGGTGGTGGGTGACTCATTACAGCAGGTTGCGGGTGACTCACTACAGCAGGTGGTGGGTGACTCATTACAGCAGGTTGCGGGTGACTCACTACAGCAGGTGGTGGGTGACTCACTACAGCAGGTTGCGGGTGACTCACTACAGCAGGTGGTGGGCGACTCACTACAGCAGGTGGTGACGCAAAACAGTATCCACAGTCTTCACTAATGATTCCTCTTAACTGTGTAATAATAACCCTCTTACCCTGAAAATGCTGTTTTCCTGCTTTTACAAGTTTTGGTTGACATGATACCCAGTTCGGGTTTATGACAGCTTTGGCACTGTTCGCAGCTGCGTAGTGTGTAGACATGGTGGGTATAATTATATCTACCCCAAAATCTTTTTTTAATACCTATAGGGTAGGGGATTTTTCATAAACATTTACGTCAAAATGACAAATTTTATTATTGCATCGCAATGCTACCTTTGGCAGACCAAAAACAACTTATATACGGTCAAAGGGAAGGAAATTCTTTGCATAGTTTGTATTCAATGATTACTTCCCATAATGTAGAAATAAATATTTAAATATTACCCTACATTGAAAATTAGGGTGATTTAAAAAATAAAATACAAATATAATGACATGTGACATTATCAAAGTCTGCCTGTCTGCTCCATAGTCTAGTGGTTCTAGCCCCTGGATATTTACAAAAACTAACCAGGACTAAATTTCTTCTGCTGCTTCTTCTTTTTGGGGTAGTTTAGGAGATTACAAGTATTAATTAATTTTTTTCAAAAAAAATCGGGAGTGGAGGTTATTAAGTCTTCACCAATCACATTTTAACTGAGCAATATTAGATCTTCAATAATGCTTTGCTAGTGCCATCCCAATGTCCAAGGGAAGCAACAACATGTAAATACAGAAAAAAAAACACACACACACACAAAGAGAAAGAGAGACACAGAGAAAGAGACAGACAGACAGAGAGAGAGACAGAGAGCGAGAGAGAGAGAGAGAGAGCGAGAGAGAGAGAGAGCTCATTTTCCACTTATAGTAACAACAGAAACAACAACATTCTGTATGTTTACCTCTTTCTGTGTTGGGAATTCCTAAATCTATTGTAGGTATCTTGTTGTCAGCCATCTCACTGAAGTATTCAATTAGTTCAGCCTCTTTTCCCCAGGTAGCCTTAACAACAGGAACTGAAAGTATAAATGAAAAAAAAACTCATGTCTATTCTTCATCTGTTGCTAATGTTGACTTATTTACAAAATACATTAGTGATGGAGTAGACAGGTACTCATGTGACTATATATTTGATAGTCTAATACTATTTTCTGCAGCTGAAGCATAAGATACCAACTCTTTAGTTCAAGCTGAGACAATACCACCAGCCATTAGTGGCATTAAAACTAACATTCACTGGAATATGCTCTCTTGTCCTAGTGCCGCAAAGCGCGACAGGCAGGAGTTATACATAGTTCCTGTTTCTTGCTAGTTGGATAGCTTGTGTTAATGTCATTCTGCATTTCTGTAGTTTCTCTTTTACTCCCTCCAACCATCTCTTTCTCGGTCCGGCTCTTGTCTTGTAGCCTGCTGTTCTCATGTAGTACATTCTATCCGTTGATTTTGTTCCATACTTACCAGATGACCAAACCATTTGATTCTTTTATGTTCTATGAAATCATTCACCAGTACTTTGACTACTATTGTTCTAAATTCTTAACTGGCGACTCTGCCTCTTCTGGTTTACCCGCTGCATTTCTTGGTACTTAATTTATAACTTACCCCTGACGTCACGACAACATCACGGGAGACATTCCCACTAAATTCCAGGGTGTTCAGCTTGTAGTTTCTTGCGATTTATCTACAGCCAAGTTTAGGCTTAGGGTTAGGGTTAGGGTTAGCATTAGAAGACACTAGATGAACACTCAAAAAAAGCACCACACAACAGCACACTTCCACCCCTTGAAATAATGGACTGTCAGGTCAGCTGTGGATTTCCCACGGGGATTTCATGTTTGGGGTACGTTATAAATTAAGAACCCATTTCTTGCACATCTCATCTCAGATGTTGTAATTTTGCGTTTGTTTTTCTAGGACCGTCCCTGTCTGGCATTGACTGCACAAAGCTGGTATGAACAGTGAATTGTTCAGCTACTTTTGTGCTATTCACTAGAATATGTAAAGATGTACATGTTGTGTGCATGTGTCCCTGCCATCTCAGCTGTAAAGTTTGGCTACAGTGTACCCTCTGTTGTCTTGGGGAATATTACAGGGTGAGGCTCCTATTTCTTCCACTGAGCTCTTCTTCTCCTTCTCCTTTTCTCTACTCCTGGAATGCCCCGTGGCATCATGGCAGGGAAAGATCTCTAGAACAGATCTTTCTGTTTGCTTCATATAAAGTACTTTTCAGCATCTCTGACATTTCTGCCGTGCAATTTCTGCTTGGTCGACCCCTGATTTGTACCGTCACTCAAAAACCACAAAAATATTTTTTTTTGTAATTAACCATTTACTGAGGAAATTATAACTTAGTACCTCAGGATAAAGAAACTGTTAAACTCATTCACTAACCTCTAAAAAACAAAAATGCATTTATGTTAATTTTGTCAATATCTCATCTAAGAATCGCAGACAGGAGCTCCAGAAGTGTTATGATGATTAAGCAATCAGTCCACCACTGCTTTGTCCTGAGTGGGAGATAAAGCCAGAGAGCTAGCGCACTTACTGTAATCTCAGCCACGAAAGTGGCACAAATAAACCAGACAATAAATATAACCAGAGACCTTTGGCAACTTCGGCTGCCAACAGCAGGTTGAACGTGGTCGATTTCTTTCTTTTTTAGAACGGTGCGGTTCTGTCCTCGGCAACACACACAAGTTAGAAGATTGTTTGATTATTTCCACATGCAATTTCAGAGAAGCTGATTTTACAAACATCTGCTGACTTAATCATGAGATGTGATGCCCTCACCCCCAAGTTCAACAATCCAAGACCAAATGAGTAACAAAATCTCACAGGTTGTGAAGTCATAAACTTGTGTCATACACACTGAAAGGACTCTTGCTCCACTCCTTCAGGCGTATTGGACATACAGGGAAAGACCTATATTTTATAGACCAAATGGCACTCGGTGGGTGACGTAGTAAACATCATGCCAGCTGCCTTGACTTCCCAGGACTTCAACCAGTAACCCTTTAAGGCTGGGTTGACCTGGGAGCCAAGGTAATTTTTGACAAGTCCGGTTCCATTAGGACCTAAACCCATGACCTTTGGATCCACATGCGACCGTGCAGCTGCTACACCATGGCGGTTCCCCATATACACTCAGTAACAATGTAAAATAGTTCGAAAATCTTGCTGGACCGAAGTAACACCAGTTTAACATCACTGTTAGTATACAAATGTAAATCTGATACAACAGTAAGAAAGCATCCAAGAATATGGACTGACAACATTAACAGCACAGTGTATTCAAGTGGAATGTCAATAACCAGGGACACCTATAACATGTTGGATAACTAGCTATTCCTTCCTATACGACATTCCACTGCAAAACAGAAGATGGGTATGATGCTAACTTAATACTGCACTCTGGTTTGGCAGTGAAAAAAGTTATTAGTATTTGGTGTCAGGTGTTTTTGTTAAGCTCATCTCTTTTCCAGGTTTTACAGAAATTAATTGTACTTGAAACAAATTTGGTTTTGGAAAATCTTTATCTGATTAAATGCAAATTTTTTGGTGGTATTATATATAGTCTATAACCTTTTAGATTTGGTCATATCATTCTAGAGAAATCTGCCTCCTTCAGGAGACCCTTCCACTGTGTATGCAGGTTCTTTGAAAGTCATGCACTCGAGAGTTTTATAGTAATCTTCTGGAAATTGAAAGAAAATTATATTATTAGTGTGTCAGACAAACGGGGAAAAGGAGAGAAGAAATAGGTTGGGAAAGGGGTGGGGGAAATTGCAATGACAGGTAGGGAGGGACAGGGAAGAGAAAACCAAAGACACATGCGGGTTAGAAAGTGAGGGGGGTAGGAGAGAAAGAGACAGACAGACACAGAGAGCTGAATCAAGCACAGATGCAACAGATGCAATGAATCAAGGAAAGAAACAATTCTAAAAGTAGAATCAATGAAAGAATGAAGATGGGAATATTCAGAAAAGGAAGAAAAAGATGCAACCAAAGCTAGTCAAAACTTACTTCTTGTTTCATGAAACTTCTTGCAAGTCTTAACTGCCACATACAGATCCCTCTTGTCAACAGGTAAATGGCAGTCTGGGAACTTGCCAGGTTGGGAGGTCACACAGCTGGGATCTGAACTGGCATCTGCTGAGCAGAACTGCTGGATGTGAGTCAGAGTGGTACCTTTACCTTCATCCCATACAAACAAGGCCAGCTCAAATTTGGGGTCTATGGAAAAATCACTTTTCACTCTGCTGGTTTGGAGTCTGTGATGTAATCTGTGAATACAGATTGGGTTAAGGTTGTTGAGGCACAACTGAGATTATCACTGCGAAGAAAATTAGCAAAGACAGCAAATGTAAATGTAAAAAAGGTAAAGTCAGGAATGTGAACCAGTGTCATTGCACACGGTCATAAACCATAAAGTGCTCTGCCATCAGCACGGACAGCTGATAAGAAACTGTCCGCCTGTGTGGCCATCCGCACATAACTCCATAGCTATAGCAATGTTCCTTCATTTACCCCAGAGTGGCAACTCTGGTACCCATTTCCTAGAGGCTGGCACCCGGGAACCGCCTGGTTTCGAACACCGGCCATGGGCTACAGCGAGTCGCAGCTGGATTTGAAAGTGAGTCTCCTATGGACTTCGCTAACGCAGCCCAGACAGCAAATGTGAAGAGAATAAGTCATTACAACATATGTGTAGAGAATAAATGATGACAATATAAGTGTACAGCATAAATGATGGCAACAAATGTGAAGAAAATAAATTATGACAATAAATGTGCAGAGAATAAATTATGATAAAAATTGCAAAGAAATCAAATGATATATATACATACTAATGTGACTATTACTCTTATGAAGGCAGCACATATGTAGGAATATCTTCTTCTTCATGTTCATATGTTGTTCATCCACCTCCAGACTTAGTCTTGTTCCAGAAACTTAAGTATTTTCTGCATTTCGGTTTTACAGATCTGGCTTATTGGTATGCAGACTGTTGGTTCCTTGCCTCTCAGGCAGATGTATTCCAACTTTTAAGAATGCCCACAATTAGTCAACACCTGCAAGATGCTTGTTGGAGAGGCAGTGGGCTACTAAATTCACATGTGAAAAAAAAAAAAAAAACTTACTGTTGGATCAAGGTGATGCTTAGAACAAAGCCTGCTCTAAAATCTGGGTAGGCAAACTGACTAGGATTGTCGGCAAAGGCAAAGTGATGGATTATGGTGGTCTCTTGGTCACGAAGTTCTCTGCCCAGGAACAGACTCTATATAAATGACCAAGAGAAATATAGTCAACACGTCAACTGATGCAAAACACTGGACATTGGAAAAAAAGTATTCTTGAATGCTACATGGAACCAGCTGTAATATATAGTTTTGAATCAGACAGTCAACAAAAAGTAGGTAATCATAAAATTGGAACATCTAACACTTATGAATGAAGAACGTAAAACACACAATATGAGAATCAGCATTGAAAAGACAGAAGAAATTTCAAAATGAAGGAAAAGACAGAAGTAATATCAATAGGAAGGAAAAGACAGAAGTCTTGTCAACAGGACGGAAACAAAAACAGAAGTAATATCAATAGGAAGGAAAAGACAGAAGTAATGTCAATGGGAAGGAAAAAACATGTAATGTCAACTGCAAGGAAAAGACAGAAGTCATGTCAATAGGAAGAAAAAGACAGAAGTAAAGTCAACATGAAGGAAAAGACAGAAGTAATGTCAACAGGAAGAAAAAGACCGAAGTAAAGTCAACATGAAGGAAAAGACAGAAGTAATGTCAATAGGAAGGAAAAGACAGAAGTAATGTCAATAGGAAGGAAAAGACAGAAGTAATGTCAATAGGAAGAAAAAGACAGAAGGAATAGGAAGGAAAAAGAAGAACCTAAACATAGCAGAAAAAGAAGATGTTACACTAATAAAGGATATTGCAGTGACAAGTCTTCATCAGCAAACAAGGATTTAATACTATATAACTATGGTATATAGTACAGTATAGATATCTTCTTCTTCTTTGCATTTGCCCAGGTCTGGACATTAGTCTTTTTCAAGAACCTGAGTGTTGCATGCATATCTGTTTTACAGATATCTCTTATTTGCATGTAGACTGCTGGTTCCTTGCCTATCAAACAGTGCACTCCAACTCTGAAGTAATCTGGTAATCTTAGTTTCAGCTTCATAGGAAACGGATCATCCCATAGTTGCTCAGCTCCTGAGCCAACGAAAAATACATAAAATGTGCACTCCAACTTTGAAGGAAGCCCCAATTAGTTGACTCTTAAAACATGCTTGCTGGGGTGACCCTGAGTCCATTCTTGTGTTTTCCCCACAATAGGGCCCCCAAACCCACACAGGCAGTTTAAGTATCAATGTGCAGCTATTTAAAACCCCCAAAAATTCACACTAGTACACATCAGTATTTGGACATCACTTGGGAAGTTAAAAAAAAAATTGTTGATTCAGGAAAATTATATATTTCTAATTGTACATTCCCAGGAATTCTTGTACTGTTTACAACTGAAATAATGTTTGCTTGTTCTTTATGTGTGTGTGTGTGTGTGCGTGACAGCAGATCCCTCTTATTTCTCTTCTTATCCTCTGATTCCACTACAGTTGTTACTGCTAATTGTCCAAATTTACCCCTTTTAGGGTGGTATAGGACTGGAGAGGGGGGGAAGCCTGAACCTAAGCACTTAGGATCTACATGGCTAGTACAGTAACCAAGACCTGTTCAGGCTAGGATGTTTATTTCTGCCCCTGACAGAGAGAAAATCCTCCCTCATTGTCCCAAGGATTCGAACTCAGGTCTCCCTCATGACAGATCAGCATTTCAGCCATTCAGCCAACCACAGAACAAAGTGGACATAAATCTTCTTTCATAAGCTCTAATGATTGCTTTGAACAAGATAATCCCTGGACCCACTTTTTTTTTTTTATCCAACAACTCTGTTGTTGGTTTATTGTTTACTTTCCACTATATTGCCTTCTGTGATGGGCAGGTATCCTAACAGTTAGGCCAATCATCCTTCAAGACACAGAACAAAGTGGACATAAATCCTTTTTTCCAAAGCTCTAATGTTTGCTTTGAACAATCCCTGGACCCACTTTTTGTATCCAATAACTCTGTTGTTGGTTTATTGTTTACATTTCACTATATTGCCTTCTGTGATGGCCAGGTATTCTAACAGCTAGGCCAATCATCCTTCAAGACATAGAACAACCACTTTAAGACAGTTTAAATAGAAAATGTTAAAAAAGGGGGAGGGGGGATATGACTGATGGACGTACGTACATGGACACACACACATACATGAAGAAAATAATGAGATGCAGAATAAATAAATTCATTCATTTATTGTCCTGTTGTGCCATTATATGTCACATTGGGCTCCTGTCTCATCAACGTTCACCTCAGGGTTTGTCTTGGACGTCCTGGTTTCCTCAATCTCTTTATTGCCCATTTCAATGTCAGTCTGGTGATTCTGTTTGTCTCTTCTCAGAAAGTGTCCAATACAGCGCCATCTACTGTGTCTTATACTGATACAAGTGTGGAATAAACACTTCATCTCACAGAGCATGCTGAGAAAGCTGGAGACAGGCATGATCTGTGCAGAGTGGCAAGCATCCCTTCAAAGGTCCCAGGTAGTTAGCATGCTTTGGATATTTTCTCCAGGTTATGCCGGTGTGTTGGGAAATGGGCAGGCAGATAGACTGGTCAGTTCTGCACCACTTGGTGGTAAACTGGATGTTGTGAGGGCCCTTTGGGAGCGAGTGAACAGTGCTGAGAAACAGATAGATCATTACGGTCTGAGAAGAATGGCACTGCGAAGAGTTACAAAGGCAAGATGGATATACAATCAGACAGTTACTGGTACCATCGGAATCGGAACTCTTCACTTGCTGCTGAAGATGGGGATCGAGCGCTTATGGGTGAAGCCCCAGAGCTGTGATGTCCATTCTTAATTCAACAGTTAACAGTTTATCTAAATATTAGCATGTCAAAAAGGCTGCTACTGACCTCTGTGGCATTGTACTGTTCAAGTGTAGTAACCAGGAGACTGACATTTATTCTGGTATCCTCCTCACATATGAGAATCCATCTGGTATTCTTCCTGGCATGTGTGTTCACAATACTGAAATGAAGATTGCAGAACTCTGGCCACAATGCTAAGAGTGATCAAGTGTCATATTTACTATATCACTGTACGGACAGCCGCCGTGGTGTAGCGGCTAGATGCTTGCCTGCAGATCGCAAGGTCATGGGCTGAGGACCTGCTGAAGATGGACTTTTTTCTCAGACTGACCGGTGGGTCCTGCGTTAAGTCCTAGGAAGTAAAAACAACAAGAGTGATGCTAGCCAAATCACCCACCCAGTAAAGATGGTCTATAAAATATAGGTCTAACCCTATATGCCCAATACGTCTAAAGGTGTGAAAAGGGTCCTTTTTTCACTGTATGGCGTGTTAGATGTGATAAGTGGCTAGACACTAACCTGCTGGTCTGACGGTCTAAGTTCAAATCCTCACAAGGTAGGTTTGAACAAACACTAGCCTTGTCTCCCAGGTTTGCCAAGCTAAAATGGTACTAAGAAATGCTCAAGGAAGTCACAGTGACCGGTGTGATGTTGATCACATAACTTGTCAAGTGCAGATTTGACTGAGTCTAACATCATTTGCCTGAGGCAACACGGGTGTTAAAAGAAAAAAAAGGTTGTTTACTTATTTACTTGCTACTGTATGGTGCATAAATAACAATACACGGAAGTTAAATTGAAGCTTCGAAAAATCCATAAAGAAGAAAAAGGAACAAAAAAATCATGACAGAAGAAAGTGTTGGAAAATTTTGGTTTGAATAAAACACTAAATGAGACTGCAGTTAGACAAAGATATTTTGGCTTTATAAATGGACAGGTCCACGTTATGATATGACCATATCTTAGAAGCTTACACATAACTCTTTCAATAGCAAGTAGTTGTTATGAAAACTCTACCTGTCCCAAGAAGCTGAGTTCAAGAGCAATGAATATAGGGTGTATGTTTAATGACTGTAGACTTTTTTTAAACAATTATTTGCACATCGCAATTAAATCTGTGTATTACATCATGTTTCAAGCGTCAGGTAACAGTTCAGGTTGAGGTTGAGGTTTGAACAACGGACCAATATCACGGCACACAGGTAGTAACCCATAAGTGCTCCGCTCTTCTTCTAACTCAAGTCAAGGTCCCAAGAAGCTCAGCACAGTGCACAGGATCCTGAAATACTTTGGGTAGATTTTAAATTCCAAATTTAGCCAGAGCAGCGCCATTAGGCTACTCTTTTCCATTTCGAACTGCCAAGGGATTCTTTACGTGCGTAACAGTGCACACAGGCGTCCAATCTCATTACCTAAAGACCAGGGGGAATTACTAGAAGTCCAAGTCCATGTGAAAAAATCCCAGCCCTTCCTGGGGATTTAACTCAGAACCTCTAGCACTCGAAGCGGACACCATGCCTCAAGACCACGCAGCCCCCAACAGTTAGTTCAGAATATCACTGCTATATACTGGTGTTTTAGTAACTGATCTTAGCTATAATGGTGTTAGTTATTGAAGAAAGACTTTTTTTTTGTTAAGTATGTGTTCCTTGTGGTGGCAGGCATATGAATGTGGTTGTTCAACAATTTGTGATGTAATTTCCTGATACACAAGTGCCTCATTCTAATACTGTTAGCAATTTAATCAGTAGAATCGATTGTGAACACAGCAGTAATGTGGAAAACAGTACCCAAAATAAGACATACTATAACAGTATATATGCAGCAACTCCACAGACGGTGATTACCAAAATAGGAATGGCAATATTTTTTTAAAATACAGTCATTAAAAATACACCCTGTACCTAGTTCTGAAAATAGAGGGGGGGGGGGGGGGGGGGTGAAACAGATACGATATGAGACAGAATAAGCTGAACTGATATTTCAGATACTAGTAGTAAATTTATATAATATTTGTCTGTTCTAGAAGACATAAAGAACACTGTGCTATCTTTGGAATTACTACAATACTTAGGGTGAGTTGTTTGGTCTGAAAGAGTTAATATCATTAATAATAATGTAATTATGGCTCCTAACTCTACTACATAGGACAATAATGTCCATCTGACACTTACTGCTCAAAAAGTGGAATTACTGTCCATGCTCCATCAACGTGTGAAAAGTCTTTGTGGGTAAACAGCAGCACTGGCCACTGGCTCTGCCAGGAAGAGTTACAGGTATATCTTATATCACTTGGTCACTATAAACGTACATTTGAAACTGGATCACTATAAACGTACATTTGAAACTTGATCACTATAAACGTACATTTGAAACTTGATCACTATAAATGTACATTTTAAACTTCATCACTATAAACATACATTTTAAACATCAGAAGCTGTCTAAAATACTTTCCTTGTCAGAAATTTTGATAAAAATTAGCTCTCCTTTGCTTCTGATACAGTACTGATGAAAGGACCTGACATGAAAAAAGACTAAATCATAAACTAGATGCATTCTTTAATCCCACCTATGGATAATAGAAGGGATAAAATGGTATGATAGAATCACTCATATGGAGCTTAGGACAAGAACTAAACAAATTCCAGCAAATAAGACTGCTTAGGAAACAATTAAATAATTATGGACAACAGTATAACTAGAATATTTTTTACTTGGAACCTACAGGGCTGGGTCACACCTAGAGAATGGAGGATGGCAGAGTCCCTAAGGAAATCCTTTATGGTGAATTAAAGATGGGTAGAAGATGTCTAGGCTGACCTCTACTACGATATGAAGATTGTGCAAGCCTGACAGGAATGATACAGGTATTGAGGTGGACTCAGAACAAAATACTATTGACTGTGTTGTGTGGAGGGGGTACATCAGGAAGGGAGTTGAGCTGAGTTGAGTTGAGAATTGACATCACAGCACTCAGGGCATTCCCATGCATGCTCCGTCCTCATCTTCAACAGACAGTACAGAGTTCCAATACTGATGGTACCGGTCACAATCTGATTAAAAGTCCGTCTTGCCTTTTCTGTGAGTGTAGTGAGCCGGCCAGACTCTCTGGTTACACCCAGGTGCCTCATTCTCTCCAGGCTATAATAATCTTCTTTCTCTACCAATTCCGTTGTTTGTTCCCAAAGAGCCTTGACCACATCTGCCCTGTCATGTATCAATTCACCACCCAGTGGTGCGGATCCAGCCAATCTGTCTGCCTATCAGGAAGGGAATGAGAATGAAGGAAGAAATGGTTGCAGAAAGGATGAGAGCTGAGCGTCTGAGAAGAAACACGCTAAACACAAATGCTGATAACAATGGTCCTGAAATCCCATGCTATACTGTGAAAGACTTTTCTTTACGTGGTCAGGTCTTGCTAGTCGCACTTGCCATCGCCCTGGGCTGTGAGTCCCATGCCTCCTCACAGATCGATATAATACTATCGTATGGAAACACAAGGTGCCAATCATCATCATCACAGGGCTAAAGGTAGACACAGACCTAACACCTACGTGGAATGGAGAATTAGAGACAGAGATGAATAATATGAGGGAAGGGGGTATTTTAATAGAGACGTAGAAGGTAAAAGAAAGACAGGCTTAGTCTGAATTGGTTGACTATTCAGGGCAAAACTAAATCCATAGCCTACACAGTTTATGGTGACTACACTAGTCAGGTAGCCCTAAATCCTTAGGCTACAAATTACCTTACAGGACAAGACCATTCTTTAAAAAAAAAGACGTGGATAAGAACAGTAAGAGTTTTTTAATCAAAGAAATATATATACGTGTGTGTATGTGTGTGGTGGGGGAGGGGTGGGTGGGTGTGGAAGTGTGAGTGTATGTGCATGTGTGTGTGTTTGTTGGTGCACCATTTGTCTTGACAAACAAACAAATCTTCAATTTTACCTTATCTAATAGAGTCAACTGTTTCTCAAAGTGTATCTGAAACTGTGATGCTTGCTGCACATGGAATTCATTGACTTGGGACAGGATAACAAATACAATGTCGTTAACCTGCAAACCTAAAGAAAGAATGATACACCGTTAGGTATTTCTGGAGTAAAATGCACAGCTTACACTAGATCAGAGCTTTCCAAACGTTTTATGTTGGTGACAAACTTTTTGAAGGAGACAATCACTATTCTTTGGTCATGTCATGAGGAGGAGAAAGCTAAAGTTGTCATGTACTAAGTTTTATGTGTATTGTACTGGAAGTACAAGAGACAGAAAATTGTGAACATACATGACTACCAACACCATACATACGGTATGGAGTGTGAGAAAAGCACACACATTTTCAAACATAATTTTTCAACACAATAATCATTCTAATATTAAAATAAATATAACAAATCTTAGTCTTCACAGACTTTGGCGAGTGAACTAGCCATGCGGCCCTAAATCCTCAGGTTCAAAGACAATTTCCTCCCCTCCGACAGCAACAGTGGTAAATGCAGGCGGCAATGTCATTTTATGGCAGGAATTCAATGTATTAGCAAACTACAGGCTTAACTAACTTTTTATAAGACAAATGGACAAACAAATTGTTTGTAATTTATTATTTGTGCAACACACCCTTACACTGCAGACAACACAGTAATGTGACACGACACACAGTCTTGTCTATTTTTTTATGTCGGGTTGCAACCTAAAAGTTTAATCATCCCTGAGATGCAGACCAACAGGACAAATCTGAGATACTCCATTCAATCTCCAATGAAGTTACAACTGGGGCACCCGTTACGGCTACACTAGCCTGGCGTAACTCCTGCAGTCCTTTGCTGGTAAGGATTTGGTATTTTTACAATAGACTTCCATGGCTGGCACATTCCCATCTTTCCGTCGACAGTGTTATACTGCCCATAGGTAGACATAGAAGAGACAGCGCATGGCAATGGTGAGAGTGACTAGAAAGAACCGTTCACACTGAAAGACACACAAAAATCTACAATGAGAGCATAGGATTTCAGGACCATTGCTGCCATTGCAGGTGTTTAATGTACTTCTGGTCAGACGCTCAACACTTAACCTATCTGAGTGGCTGGGGTGGGGGGGGGGGGGCTGAGTGGTTTCGAGGCATGGCGTCTGCCTCGGGCGCTGGAGGTCCCGAGTTCAGGCCCAGGTAAAGGCTGGTTTTTTTCAGGTAGATTTCGAGTAATTTTCCTTGGTCTCTGGGTAGTAAGATTGGACACCCATGTGTATTGTTGCGCATGCAAACACATAAAAAATTTCCTTGGCAGCTGGAAATTGAAAAGAGTTGCCTTACAGCGATGCCCGGGCAAAATTTGGATTTCAAAATCGACACAAAGTATTTCAATATCCTCACCGGTGCTACGGATTTTGCGCACTGTGCTTAGATTCACCGGACTCAGGCTTGTGTTAGAAGTAGAAGGAGGCCCTTATGTGTTACCACCATTATGCCATGATTTTTATCCACTGTTTTAGCAGAAACAGATCTTAACCTATCTGCAATAATTTTGTCTATATCCATCCGCCCTTCCTGATGTTCTTCCTCCACGCAACACAGTCAATGGCATCCTATACCCACAAATCCAGCTCAACAACTGTATTATAGTTTATGTCCTGCTTGCATATATTATCATATATCACAGAGGAGCCTGACCTAAACATCTTCTACCCATCTGTAATTCATTCAGTATAAGGATGTCCTTAGGAACTCTACCATTCTCCAAGTTTGATATAGTCATCTGAGCCCTCAAGGGCTCAGCACTGAGAAAACTGCTGTGATATCGGCTCTTTCTAACACTTCAGTGTGTGTGACCTTGTCTTGCCACTTAATGCCAGGTATGCGTCTTGGACATCAAATTTTAGAGTTATTTAGCCATTTCTCCTGGCAGGAATAAGTGGATCATGTGTCACTACCATAACAAAATAGCGCTGAGAACCCAAAATTGACAGACAAGTGTTTTTGTGTAACTGCAAGTTTTCTGTTCTCCCAAATATTTATTGTTAATTTGACATCCATGGACATCATCATAAATTACTATTGCACGGCTTCACCGTGACAATGAAAGGTACTAACAGTGAAAGACATGACACAGAGAAACCTAAAGAAAATATTGGAAGACCAGAAAAGGTAAAGTAACCCCATGTACACCATGTATATCCCTTTGGAAATATGATGCTAATAAAAAAATACATGAATAAAATTGCCACTATTTAGTCAGCTTTTACTTCTGGGGCTTCAGTGGTGTAGACACCAGTGGCTACTTGTCTGCCTGTCCGGTGATCATGTGGTTCAAATCCTATTACTGTAGATACTGTTAAAAACTGACAGGCTGCCAGGATAGTCTAGTCTAAAATGAGTACCAAGAACTTTCCTAGGGGTATATAGATGATGAAGGTGATCACCTGACCGCACCACACTTCAGCTGCTGAATTAGAATATGGGAACAGCACCATATAGCTTTGCTCATATTTACCAGGACCCATAAGAAGAAATAAAATCTGTAACTCAGCAATACAAATGCATGTCAGAAATGTCACTAAGGTGGTAGGTGTTACACTGGTTACCTCATCCCACAAGGAAATTGCATCTGCAAAATCAATAATCAGATTAACAACAAGCCTGCAAAAGGCTTGCCATTAGCTGTCTGGGGCCTAGGCTTCACTAGGAGAAGGAAGATTTTTTTTTTTTTTAAACAGGAAGAGTAATTAGTAGGAGGTGGTGGTGGATGCTGAGCAGAAGAAATGATCATATACCATTCTGTACACCTCAAAGCACTTATCAATTTTTGTTTACTTTTACTTTATTTGATCTAAAGTTCCCATTTAAAAAATGCTTCAACGAACCCTAGAACCGAAACTGGTCGGTTGGTGTGTAATGATCACTAGAGGGCTGCCATGGTGTACTGGTTATTTGCTCACCTGCGGATCCAAAAGTTGTGGGTTCTGGTCCTGACAACGCTGGACTTATTTTCAAAAATGACCTTGGCTCTCTTGTCGACCCAGCCTTAAACGGGTACCAGGTAGAGCCCTGGAAAGTAAAGGCGGTTGGCCTGATGTTGACCACATCATCCACTGAGTACCAACTAGTTTAAAATGTAGGTCTAGCCCTACATGCCCAAATACACCTGAAGAGGTGGAAAAGGGTTCTTTACTTTACTAGCCACTATTTTGTCATCACACAGTAACAAAGAGAACAACAGATACTGATTCATAAAAGAAGACAATCTAGAAAACAAATTACCTGCATTTCCAGGTTGTTGACTTCCAGTGCCATATTGTGAGCACACTAACAAACCTGTAAATAATTAAGTAAACATATTATTTCCATTAAAACAGAAACAAACAGTAGTTAGTTACTTTTATTCTGTGAAGCATGCTTGTCTAAGCATTGGGCTCTCATTCTGCCTGGTTCACATTCTCTGCAAAGAGCAAAAATAAAAATCGCAACTTACAGTCCTTGGTGACTGAACTAGCCATTCTTTTTTCTTGTGTCCATTTTCTGCTTGTGCTGGTGGTAGGTGTTGCAGGTTAACAGATGATCAGTTTCAGAGCTAGGGTAGGGCATGTGTGGTTGCCTGGTAGGCTGTGATGTTGTTGAGTATCAAGGTATCAGTGATTTCTTCAGTCCATCTTCTTCTTGGTTGTCCCCTACATCTTGGTGTTTCTATTTTTATGTTGTATATACTCTCTTTGTTGGCATCATTGGATGCGGCACCCTCAATTTCAATGATGACAATTGAAAAGACCGACAGTTGGATATACTCGCGTATTTTAATCAGATCATTTTGGGTTAACTCTAAAATGTAACCAGATAATCCTATCAATATTTATAATATATTAGCTTCGTTTAATATGTTACTTGACTGGGAAACACGTGAAACCAGGAAACAAAGACGTCCAAACGAACGATATTAAAGCTAGACTTTGAAGAGGCTGGATTTCATCTATGATATTGATAATGATATTATATTAAAACAATTGCACAGGAAAGAACACAAAGGAAAAATGAACTGCAAGCGCTAAGTGATGCGTAAATGGTTCAACAGAATAATGAAAATGATCGCATAATAAATATCTTTAAACTCACTGAACACAATAGAACAGAGAAACCTGTGTAGCTGAATGCCAGCAGACAAGCGGGCCGGATGTTTCATATTTGCAGCAGTGTTGCCAGTGTTGCCACTTTTCTTTGACAAAATAACATCCGAAATGAGTCAAAAAATATCTAAAACATCTAAATTTGCGTGAAAAACATAGGGGAAAAAACATCCAAATGGAAAGAGTCACAAATTACGTAGCAATTGATATGACTCACCCTATAGAATCATATCATCATCTTTACTGAAGTCTGCCTCACAAGATCCACAGGATAAACTTAGCTTGGATGATGAAGTTGAAGTTTCAGATCCAAAATGACTTTGGTATGCTTTAGCGGTTCCAATTTCTTTCAATACCCAATCAGGGAGCTGATAAGTGAAACAGCCTTTTCCTACTCGTATCAGGCCGAATTTTATTGTTAGGATGGGATTTAAGAGGTCAAATTTCATCCTGTTTCTTAGGTTAGATTTGATAAATTCACTCAGCATGAAAAAGTTCTAGATAAACATCTACCATCTAAATGTCAAAAACGCCATCTAAATGCAAGTGAAAACTTACATTCATATTTCATCTAAATATGAATGTCAAACATACAAAGTGGCAACACTGGCAGCAGGCAGCTTGTGGTTGCCAGGGCTGCCAATTGGATTTGGTCAAAACCCAAAGTAAGCGGACCAAAACATCCAAGCAATACATAAGCCAAAAAAAAAAAAAAACAACATTGATAAAAGTACACATTTTATGGTAACGAAACATTTTCCCACTTTTATATAAGGATAAAAAAGGTAAAAAGTAAAAGTTTCTTAAACTCGCCTTTCAGCATCACGCCAGGCTTCTTTACTTCCCATTACTGTACCTAGTACCCACTCAAAGCTGGGTCGACCTGGGAAATCAATTTTTTTTTTTGGGGGGGGGAGGAAGGGGGGAAGCCGACCCTTATCAGTAGCTGAACCCACGACCTTCAGATCCGCAGTCGAGCGTCTAGCCGCTAGACCACGGATATATAAGATTTAAAAAAAAAAGATGAACACAAGTTAGTTAGTTAGTTATTCCTCTTGTGCCAAAGATGGCGCATAGGGCAGAGGTCATAGCTTTCCACGTCTGTCGGTTCGTTGCCACTTGATGTAGGTCTTGAGTGCGACTGAGACCCATGGTTGAGCTCTCCCTTGTGATGGTTCTACGGAGAGTTTCTTTTGGTCTTCCCTGTTTTCTTTTACCCTCTGGTGACCATATGAAGGCTTGGTGGGGAAGTCTCTGTATGTCCATTCTGAGTACGTGACCGATGTAATTCCAGCGACGCATTCTAATAAAATCAGACACATATTTTTGTTTTGTTTCCTGTCTTATAGATGTATTGGACCTAAAGTCCGACCAGTGAACATTCAATAGCTTTCGGAGGCATCTATTCTCGAAATTTTTTATTTCTTATCGATTGATACTGATGATTTCCAACTCTCACAACCATAAGTTAGCACTGGGATCACACAGGAATTGAAGACACAAGGTGTCTTATAAAATCACAGATCATGGGGAGAAAACTCATGTATTGGCAGCCCTGGTGGTTGCCGTCTGCTGCTTTATGCCAGGTACACTGTTTTAACGTAAAAAATTTTTTTTAGAAAATGAAAATATATATATATATATATATATATATATATATATATATATATATATATATATATATATATATATATATATATATATATATATATATATAGATATATATAGATAGATATATATATATATATATATATATATATATATATATATATATATATATATATATATATATATATATATATATATATATATATATATATATGTGTGTGTGTGTGTGTGTGTGTGTGTGTGTGTGTGTGTGTGTGTGTGTGTGTGTGTGTGTGTGTGTGTGTGTGTGTGTGTGTGTGTGTGTGTGTGTGTGTGTGTGTGTGTGTGTGTGTGTGTGTGTGTGTGTGTGTGTGTGTGTGTGTGTGTGTGTGTGTGTGTGTGTGTGTGTGTGTGTGTGTGTGTGTGTGTGTGTGTGTGTGTGTGTGTGTGTGTGTGTGTGTGTGTGTGTGTGTGTGTGTGTGTGTGTGTGTGTGTGTGTGTGTGTGTGTGTGTGTGTGTGTGTGTGTGTGTGTGTGTGTGTGTGTGTGTGTGTGTGTGTGTGTGTGTGTGTGTGTGTGTGTGTGTGTGTGTGTGTGTGTGTGTGTGTGTGTGTGTGTGTGTGTGTGTGTGTGTGTGTGTGTGTGTGTGTGTGTGTGTGTGTGTGTGTGTGTGTGTGTGTGTGTGTGTGTGTGGATTATTTGTATGCAAACTGTTGGCTTTTTGCCTTCTCAGTCAGACGCGCTGGGACTTCAAATGAAATCCCTAATTAGTCGATTCCTACGTTTTGCTTGGTTGAGTGGGGGTGGGGGTGGGTGTGTCTATTCTTTTTTCCTACACACTGAGACCCAGGAATCCTCACGGAAAAGACATGCACAGTATCTAAATTACTTCTTCAGGTATTTGTTCAGCTCATATTTTTACAATGGGATCAGGAGGTCTTCTTCAAAAATGTCCTTGACTCCCAGGTCGAACCAGCCTTGATTGGGTACCAAGTTCCAGTCCTCGGAAGTAAACGTTGCCGGCGTGATGCTGACCACATCACCCACCAAGTGCCGATTGGTCTATACATATATAGGTCAAGCCCTATATTCCCAATACGCGTAAAGGCAGTGAAAAGAGACCTTTTTGAATATTATTAAAAGTGGTCCCTTTAACAAATATATCGGCCCGCCTCTCTAGTGTAGTTAGCTAAACCGGATTGCGCGGTGAGCGGGGGTAGTCAGAAAAGCCACATTTTCTCCCAGATTTACGGTGTTTACAATGGAATCAAGGCCGAAAGGTTGCGATATCCATAAAACCGAGCTTAAGGGTTAACAACTCATGGCTTCTGGATACTAAAACATACAACAACAAATATATTGTGTGGGGGAGAAGGGGCGGGGGTGGCTAGATGGACGTGAGAGGCTAGAAGCTCGCTCCTCTGTGACCAGCTTGCTACATTCTTTTCTGATAACCTCTGAACTCCATAAGGGTAGTCTGGTTTGTTGTTAATTCAGGATAGGAGAATAAAGTCGGGTTTGACCGTATCTAATTAAGAAATGTTAATATTGCTGATTATATCTCAGCTGATTATTTAGCTCAGTTCAGGATATTTTCATTTTTTTTTTAAACCTGATAGAATAAGTTTTGAGAAAACGGATCTGTCTCTTGTTAGTCGAGCAGCAGGGGAAAATAATGAAAACTTGAGAAGCCTGTCAGCTGGTTTAAAAACAAAGTAAAAAAGACAGGATCTCCTGTGAAGTGTAACCATGTGAAACAGTAGCGAGGATTGATTTCCAAAAGCATTCACACTTTAAAACAAATGAACAGCTACAATACAACTGTCGATCATATGAAAACATTTTTGTTTAAAAATACACATCCCGGCACACTAAATAAAGTGTACTGATTTGATTTGATCTGATTCAAGAACCGACATAACAGCACTCGGGGCATTCCCATAAGCGCTCCGTCCCCATCTTCAGCAGCCAGCGAGGAGTTCCGATACTAATGGTGCCAGTAGCTTTCTGATTAAACGTCTCGTGCCTTTCCTCTGAGCCTCGAGCTTCTGCCAGAACCTCTCGTCACCCCCAACTGCATCAATCTCACCAGACTGTTATGATCCATCTGCTCCTCCGAATTGTACACGCTCTCCCACAAGGCACTAACCACGTCTGCCTTATCATGTATCAGTATTCCACCAAGTTATGCAGAGCCAGCCAGTCTGTCTGCCTCTTCATTTCCCAACACTCCGGCGTGACCCGGTGAAAAAATCCAGACAATACATGGAATAAAGTGTAATCAGAACAGCTACCTTAGATGTTGCATACACATTACCTGATGTATCTACACAAAACAACCCGAAACAGGTGCAGGCTGGAAAAGGTACTGCCCATGGCTGGTTCTAGCATGGATGTTAACATGTTTAGAGACTGTCTAGGAGTTACTACACACACCTGTTGCTGCAACCCAAACTAAACTGTCACAACTGCCCAGGGATATCAAATTTAAATTAAAATATAGTGAAACAATCAAAAATTAATTACATGTTGGTTTTTTGTTTTTTTTTCAAGTTTGTTTTCTTGTGTGTTCTCAGTCCACTTTTTCCCATTTCAGTACTGGTTTGGTAATTGTCTGTCCTTGCCTTCTCATAGTGTGCTATCTTCTTGGTCTTAAACCCGTTGATACCAGCCGTTGTCCAAAGATTTCTCTCATTTCCTTTCCTTCCTCAGTTCATCCCAAAAATGTGGATTGCTGATTCACATCACAGTCTCACTCTGTGGGTCCCTGCAACAATTGTAGTGGACATGAACCTTCGTGAGAATGACAGTGAGTAGGTCACCCTCATCAGCTTTGAAACCAATAACATGTTCACACATTTTTTTTTTATATAGTACTTCTTCCATATTTCTAGTATATTGCTACTTTCCACTAAAATCTTTCTGCCTCAGATTTTCTCAAAAGTTTTAAACTGGAGTAACAACAGTTTTAAAAGCTAAAGTACAAAACTTTCAAAGAGACAATCTAAAGTAATAGCAGCAGCTGGTCCAAGTGGTTAAAATGATAGGCTTACATGTGGAAGACCCGGATTTAAATCCTCAGTGAGCTGATAATTTTGTGTGTGTGTGTGGTGTAGGGGAGAAAAAAAAAGGGGGTGGGGGGTTTTGGAAAGGATAAGGGCTATAATAAACATCCTAGTCTGCACAGTTCGTGGCATCTGTAGCAGCCTTGCAGCCCTATATCCTCAGGGTCGAGCCCCCTTGTCCTACACTGCCCTAAAAAGGTGGACTATAGACAGTGAAAAACTACCAACAGGGAAACCATATTTCTTTAGAATTCTTTGACCAAATATACAAAATAAGCAAAGTATGAGAACACATCATTTTATGTTTATAACTCAAAGCAAACAGAGAATCCCACATAATATGCAAGAGCCATAAGTATTTCCATTTGTATAATTTGCTACATGCATATGGTCTGAGTTCACTTGTTGATTTTTGAAATCACATGGATATGCCCCAGCCTTTTCCATTTCATTTTGAATATTCATTGCATACCCGTTGTTATTCAATTTCAACTGCAGATTGATTTCTGTTATTTTTTGTTCAAAATCTAAATAATGTCCTTCTATCCTTGTTTGCAAACATCTTATTTCTTACTTGCCTCAGTTTGTCTTTTGTTATATATGTCTATTTCGTTGACAATTTGTTGGGAATAACCTTCTCTTGTGCTGGTGGGATGTTAAGTCTCTTGATTGCGTGACTAGTTCATCGGGTGTCTCATGTTAAACAGTTATCAACATCTCAAAAGGTAGGGGGGGGGGTTTAAGGGAGGGGGGCAAGGGAAAAAGGGGGGGGGGGGTCAGTACAGTGTCCTCCTGTTCAGGCAGTAAATAATTTGCTTCAGACTGCATTAGTCATGCTCCTTTTATAATTTATATACACAACCCACACATACACACACACACACACTGCAAGCTTAAAAAATATGCTTTCATCTTATCAAAGTGCTGTGCAATTTTAAAACATTATCTACTTCAGTATAGTTGAATCGACGTGGCAATCAAATTGTTATGCTTTATTATTACTGTATAATGTTGATTTTCACCTGGTGAACTTATTTACAAGAACAAAGTGTGTCAGTTTAATTTATTAGTTAACTTCTAGCCATTAACATAATTACAGTTAATTTAAGGACATCGCTTACATTAATGAACCTACAGCAGGCGAATGCTGACGAACTGTGCTGATTCTTCTTCTTCTTTGCGTTCGGTTTCGTATGCTCAGATCAGACCATTAGGTAGGTTGTCTCTACGAACTGTCAGCTGCAGGTCCTGCATGGTTCCCCATAGCCCATAGCTTGCTCTGCACACTTTGCTCTTGAAGTTGCAGGTAGAGTGGGCAGGTCTGCAGAATGTGCTGAGGTGTTTGTGGTCCTGTTTGACTGGCACATTGGGGGGACTGTACAATCTTTATTTTTTTTTTTTTTTGCATGTGGTAGTTGAGCCTGCAGTTTTCAACTTTCAACATCAGATCTGAACTGTGAGCACGTCCCGAACGTCGTCTGCTGGCATTCAATCGTTTATTTGCGGGCTTAAACACTTTATCGAAAACCACCAGACACTTGTTACGGAGTGTCGTGTCCGAAAATATCGGCTTCCTCTCTCCCTCCGTTTACTTTATCGAAATGTTGGAGGAGATATATGGATTTCTTTTTGTGTTCTTTCTATGCGTTATATGAGATGGTATTTATTTATGTTACTGGTGCCTCCCTATGGGTGGTACCCCTTGCTTTTCTTCTTCTTCTTTTTTCTTTTTCTTCTTCTCCATCCTCTTCTTCTTCTTCACTTTCTTTTTTTCTGCTTCGTGTGTCAAGGGAGACACAGGGCTTTGCTTCTTATTGTTCTGGCTGCCTCGACCGTGGACACATCGTGCTGTTGTCGAGTTTCTCTGGTATTATTTGTTCATATTGTTCTTGGTCTACCTTGTGCTCTAGGTCTGTCTCTTCTGGTGTATGCCTTGGATGGAATGGCGTCGCAAGCATTCTCTCTCAGTAAAGTAAAGAACCCCTTTCAACGTCTTCAGGCATACTGGGCACATAGGGCTAGACCCATTTTTGACAGACCAGTCTGTGTTAGGGGAATCATGTTGTCAGTATTACACCGTCCGCCTTTACTTCCCTGGACTCCATCTGGTACCTATTCAAGGCTGGGCCGACGTGAAAGCCAAAATGGAAGAGAGTGTGGGGTCTTACCGCGAAATATTCCTAAAGACAGCAGGAAGCACTGCAGCAAACTTCATTGTGGAAACGGCACGTGATTTTAAAAAAAAAAAACTTTTTTTTTACAAAATGTTACCAGGAAATAGAGAAAACACAAAAATAACAACTCCAAGATGAGAATGACTATTTCAGACAGGAGAAATCCTAAACATGGAATGCTGTGACAGACAATGTGCCCACAATTCATAAACAACGACGCTGAAACACCGGAATGCTAATTACGTTAGGGGCAATTCTCACAACAGCTCAGGCACAAATTCTACACATTCCTCCAAACAGGATGCTTCTAGCGCTAACAAGATTGTCACCAGCCTCCCCCCTCCCCCTTCCCTATCCCAAAGTACAGTAACCAGCGTGCTCGCCTGTTGTCAGGCAGGTAGATCAGTTACGAAAGTAATGTTGTCTAATTATAGAACTGCGGGAATGTTAACTAATTTTACAGGTCGGGTTTCTGCACATGCGACTATTTAACTGTTAACTCTTCCGGTACTAAGCAACGCACCATACGCAGGTTGATTACTCCACGCATTCACATGTGTCTGTCTATGTTAGCATTCTTATGTTGATTCACTTTATACATGTTGTTATTATTAGTATTAGTATTAGTATTAGTACTGTTGTCATATTATTAATAGCTGTACCCTGCCACGCGTTGCTGTGGCCCAGTCTGGCTGAATAGAAATTATAGAAATAAGAAATCGATCGTGTCTGATATGGTTAATTTCACAATCACTGGCTGTGCAAGTATAGAGATAGTCTTGTTTGCCGACTCTAGAATATGCAACACATAATTGTGTCTTTATATTAGTGGTCGTTTAAACTATTATTAAGATTGATTTTTTGGAAGTGGTTATTTGTTTATCACATGCTAATTTGTTTAACATCTTAAAGTAAAGCTTACGATTGTACTTCTAAATAACCAACACATTCGCAACAACAACACAAACTGAGGTAGCGTTATAAAAATATAAATAATTACAAAACTGTAACCTTGAAAATCACGTTTAAAGCTCTCTCTGTTAACAGTTTTTGTTTCTAACTAACCCCAGCATTTTTTGGCTGCTGTAGTTTTTCTATGCAAATTTACGTTCTGTAGTTTGCCACTTCTGTCTAGACGGTAGGTTCTTGATAACACTGTCAAACCCATCGCAAGGTCTGCAACTGGGATCGAACCCCGCACCTCGGCATTACGAAGCGCGATCGCAACGCCTAAGCTACAGCCTCTGACAGGGATACCACAGTGGGCTGAAATTCACTGCTGAACTAGTTCCGTTTTTGTGTAGAGCATTCTGACGTCTGTTGTTTTTCAGATCAAGCTCTCCTGTTTGGAGCCTGAAATTTATTTGAGAGCTGATTTTGAGCTCCCAAAAATGCTCTAGTTTTTTTTTTTTTTTTTTTAGTTGATTTCGACTATTTTAGTCCTCACAGTTAGAAGATAACTCCAAAATGTGACATAATAATAGAAGGAAAAGTGCTTAAACAAGTCAATAAATTCAAGTATTTGGGGACATTCATAACATCAGATGGACGATGTTTGACAGAAACTAAGGCAGTATTTCAGAAAATGACAAGTAACTTGTGTAATAAATCAATCTCATTAAACATCAGAAAAAGAGTACTGAAATTTTATATCGAGCCTGTTCTGTTGAATGGCAGTGAATCTTGGATACTCAATGTCGAAAGTATGGGAATATACAATCTTACAATTCCAAGCTGTCGTTGCTTTAACTCCTTTTATTTTTCTCTTTTGTTTTTTGTTTGTTTTTGTTGACAAAATACTGATACCTAAGGTTGTTCTTCATTGCACCTTCCTTAGCTAGTTTATCAGCTCTTTCGTTTCCGGGAACTCAACAGTGGGACGGTATTCATAGCTACCTTATACCGGTTGCCTAGTTCATAGAGCAGTGTCCGTATACCTGGTAACTTTCCAGACTAGAGTTCCTGAAGTACCGCTTTTGCATCTGTCCGGAATACCACTAATTGTGATATATACTCAGTATTTAGTCGATTCTCTGCTGCTATCTTGATGCCTTGAACTCCTGCATCGTAGTTGTGACAGTGCTTTTCTGTTGGTGTTGTGGCTTTATCCCTGGTATTATGAACATACGAAGTTAAATAAGTAGTCAACACAATAAAGAAAGATATAACATTTTTCTGTGAAAGAAGACATTGTTAAATTATACTGTCGTTGAAATGAGCCAGTTACAAACAGTGAGTTGTTTGGGATAGAAAACATTAAAACAAAACCTAAGAAACACTTAATTTAATGTAACTGAGAAGGTTAATCCCGATAAGTTATAATATTCTTGTTTATTATTATTATTGTGAAAGTTAGACAGTCACTACGATCTGAATCTTGTCACGAAAAGTGTGAGACGGTAACCAAATTCCCGGTTCCTTTACCAAGGAAACAGAATGGGAAATCCACGAGAGTAGGATTTCAAAGGAATGACGAATTCTCTATTCCACTGTGGGAACCGAGTGGCTAGACGTTTGCCTGTCAGTCGGAAAGTCCAGATTCCAGTCTGCATCGGTGCTGATTTATTGTTTATAATTAACATTGACTCCCAGGTCGAAAAACCAAGGAGATGTCATGGAAAGTAGAGGTCGCCGGTGGGATGTTGACCACGCCATCATCAAGCTCCGATTGGAGCTACAGAAGAGATAGCAACGGGAACACTCGTACTAGACAAGGGAGATATTCTGAAGCCCATATAAGAAGGAATGTTGACACAAGACAGAAGATTAGATGAAACAACATGTGCAGGAACGTGTGAACGAGGAAATGGGAGTGGATCCGGCAAGGAGGTAAGTATGAAAGGAAGGAGAACCAGGTGTGTAAAATCAGCGTGGAACAGTTAGCATCTACACCTTACATTTGCTGCTGGAGAAGGAGCATCTATGGTATGTGTGACGAGCTGGACTGGACAGCTGTTTCTGCCTTTAAGTATTGCTGTGTACTAGTAATATTATTATCAAATTTGTAAACATTTCTTGATTGCTTTCTATTAGCCCTTATAATACTTAATTAATTAAGAAGTTAAAAGGCGAATGAGATGATGAGTAGTGCAAGGAGTAACTCAAGAGTTACTTCCCCCTTTTCTTTGGGACTTCCTACGTTCATTTTCAAACAGATCACTTGGTAAGCTAGACCGTTCTCTGTCTGCTTATGACTCAGCAGTATAACCCACTGCAGTCACCACTGTGTGTTTGAATTCCCTACCAGGGGTGAGTGAAACGAATAAGTTTAATTTGATCTATTGCTGCTTATTCCTCTGAATTAATTGCACAGGTTAAACTCTATGAAATTTGATGCCCGCATGGCTTAAAAATCCTTGTGAAGTCCCTGATCCTAACTAACCACGTTTATAATCTAGTATATACATGTACGCAAACATATGATCTATTTGATGATTGAAATAAGGTTTAATTGATACAAGAAACGTGCATTGGTATTTTTAATTATTATAATTATATTAATTAAGTGAGAATTTATGTCCTCATGTGAAATCTCGGCCGGTTCCGGTTTCCAGCATGGTGAGACAATTAAAAGAGGAATGAAGTGTATATTCATTATACCTAATGCTTACTAAGTTGATTTTACCTCAAAGTGATATAAGCTTGATAAATCACTATATGGCTTTAATTTAGATTTAGTCCAGATAATTCTGAGACTCGTTTAAGAGCTCGAAAAGTGAATAACACGAGGGGGGGGGGGAGGGAGGGGAGCGCTAAATTTAATATTTTCAATGTCGGAGAAGAAGAGGAGGGATGTATGGCCCATGCTTGTAATTATTATTGTTGTATATATATTTCCATATTACTAGGAATACATTTCAGTACCACAGCAGGTGGCCTTACAGTTTTAATAATTATATTTCAACCCTCACAACTTCTAAACTCTGCTGACTAAGATGTCATCACACATGTGGATTTAGATTTAAACTGGAGTGAGTGTAGTATATTTTATGTTAATACTGTGACAGATGGAAAGCCCATTGTCATCCATGATTGTATCATGACATTTACCCAGTATATTGATGGAGATATGTCAATCCTATTTGTTTTCAAACTGTGCAAAGCACCTGTTTTGAGTTTCCGCCCCATGTAAACCCACTCCCTGATTCTAATTCTTGGTGATGTGAACCAATGTGGTTGAAATGAGAATACTGTGAAATGTGACTGTGTGTGTAAGCATGTTAACCCCTCACTATTGTAAAGACATCAGAACAATTTACACTGATGAATGTCCTTTCTTATTGTGTGATGTAAACTATTGTGCTAGAGAGTTTTCATGAAACTGATGTTTCCTAAATATTTCCCTATCAGGATTATAGACCCTGTTCTGTAAACATTCCCATTCTGTACCAGTAAAGAATGTGAACACTTGTGATTACCCTACTCCATATATGTGTGTGTAGTGTAACATCATATGAGAACTGGAGGCACTGTTGTTTCCAGTGAGAACTTTCCAAACTGTTTGTATAGGGACTGTTCTATTGTTCTAGTTCCAGATGGGAGTTCCAGGTGGGAGTTCCAGAAGTAAATCACAGCGTAGCTGCAGATGCCCGATTGTCTGGACTGGACTGGAAGATTCGGCCTGGCTGATGTGTCTCCGAGGCTTAGCTAGAAGCTGACCAAAGAAACCTGAGCTACAGCTAAGTGGGAACATCTGTTACTATCCCAACCCATACTTGTATCCACAGCCAGTTGGTTATTAGTTGAATTTTCCACTCCCAAATAAATGTAATAGTTTTAATGTTCCTACAGTTTTATGGAGTTTCATTTTAACTGTAATCATTGTATCAGTGAACAAAAGAAAGTATAATTTAATACATTTAAATATACAATTTAATAACAGTAGGGAATCAAATGTGGGCAAACCCCGAATCCTCTCATTTAACCAGCAAGGCTGGGGGTAATATAAACCTCTATGATGATTCACAGTTTGTAATTCCCTCTGTAAATTGCACATAGCGCATTCGCTAGTGTAAAGCGAATTTACCCGCCACAGTATGCCCAGTGTGTTATGATTTCGATTATTAAATTAGTAATCAGTAATCAACGGCGAAGCGTTCATGTAGCTAGTGGCGCCGAATCGCTTATCGGTCCGCCGATAGGTGAACCTGTCGCCGGTCGGTGGTTAAGAAGGGAGCAGGATCGTATTAACACAAGTCCTTTTAAGGGTTTGCTTTTGGTAGCTGGTCCTTTTCAGGGCTACCTGATGGCAAATAATTTAGCCACAAATATGGCGTAGTTACCCAAGACTATAATCTTGAGAGTCACCGTGGTGTGGCGGCTAGACACTCGCCTGCGGATCGGAAGGTCGTGGGTTCGGGTCCGATGGAGCGGGATTCTTTTTTCAAAAATGACTTTGGCTCTCAAGTTGACCCAGTCGTGAGTGGCTGCCGGGTAAAGGCGGCCGATTTGATGCTGATTAGATCAACCACCTAGTGTCGATTAGTAAATAAGCAATAAGTCTAGCCTTACATAGCCAATAGCCTAAAGAGTTCTTTAAATTATAACGTAGGGAAGCCTGGCTATAAATAGAAGGTGCCCGGCTCGCAAGCTCAGTTGGTTAAACCTGATTGCGCGGTGACCAGGTGACGAATCCTTGTGGTCCGTGTTCACTTCCGTGGGTAGGAAGAAAAGCAAATCCCTCCCCCCCCCCCCCCCCCCCATCTCCCCCCCATCCCTTCCAGATTTACGGTACATATCATTGCATCAAGGCCGAAGGGTTTAGATATCCATAGTACCGAGCCAAAGAGTTAACAACTCATGGTTTCTGGATATTAAAAAAAAAATCATAGAAGGCTGAACGTGGGTGACATTTTTTCTCCTCTAAATGGAACGGAAAGTGCATGTAACAAGTGTCATCGCCGCTTAAATATTTCTTTGCGAAGAAAATTTATGTTCTCATTTATTGTTACTGTCACTGTTTATTACACACCACTCGGTTTACCTTTCCAACACAACGCGTAGGGGGAAAATGCTCGATGCATGCTTATGCTACTCATGCAGAAGCTGTAACGCGTGAAAGCTACCAGTTACTAGTACACCAATTCTGGTTGTGTATGCATATTCTCAACAGCGAAGCTACAAGGAGGAAAATATCACGCGCTACTCTCCCCAGTGTAGTCGTTACCTGTTAACGCTTACATATGCGAACTGATCACGCCTCGACACTGATAAAAAATGAATCTAGCAGTGTACACCGGATACACCTGAAAATAAATATTTTTGTTTTCAAATAGAGCCCTGCCTTTCATAAAGAATTAAGAACAGAGCAGCACGAGACGTACGAGAATAGAACAGCTGCTGGCAATTTTTCTGCTCATTAATTGTCACTTTCCTTGGAGCAGACCTCACACCTGCAGAACAATGGGCAGGTAAAATGCGTTTCGCGAAATGAGTCACTAGTTTCTCGTACGTGCACGAGGCATGGATGGCGTCTGTGCTAACGACGAAGTATAAAAGGGCTTTATGTATGCATAAGTGAGGGGCGGGGATACTGTAACCTGAAAGCTTTGGTCCTTTGAGTCTCCGTCTTGAAAAGCTCTGATTCTCTTCTTCAAACACTGCTTGAGAGTCAATGACTCACATCCAACAGTTCATGCAAATTATAGCACACACACACACACCAATCTGTGCATTATTAATAATGTTATTATTATTATTATTTCATTTACACACAGCTTGCAGCCATTGAACCCCCCCCCCCCTCCCCACCCACCCTTTCCACCAAACAGAAAACTTGTAAGAGCGTTCCCTTCTTTTCTCCGTTCTTTTTTTCTTAGTGTCGGCGTCCGTTGCTGGAGGTACTTGTTTGTGCATGTGTGTGTATGTGGGTGTATGTCGGTGAGAGTATGAATGCGAAAAAGACGATGTGATTGCATTTCAGTACACGTATGCGTGTTTGTATTTTTTTTTAAACCACACACACACACACACGGGTATGTTTGTGTATGAGTATATATCTCTCCGTCCTTTCTCTCTCCCTCTCTCTCTCTCTCTCTCTCTCTCTCTCTCTCTCTCTCTTTCGCGCGCTCTATCTCTCTCTTTCTTTGACTCTCTTCCCCTTCTCTCACACACCTTTTTCCCCTCCCCTCTCTCTCTCTCTCTCTCTCTCTCTCTCTCTCTCGATCTCCATCTGTCGGTCTGTCTCGGTATGTGTGGCTATTTGTATGTATGTGTGTGTTGTCTATGTCTATTTATGTGTGTGGGATAATAGAAACCGGTTCGATTCCAGCTGCGTGCGATTTCGCAGAAGGCCACTTGACGTTGATTTTGATAGTGGTGTGTCCCCGTGTGGGTTCTGGGGTCCCATTGTGGGGAGAAAAAGGATAGACCCACTGCCTGCCCAACAAGCATGTCGTAAGAGTCGACTAAATGACAGATTTCTTCGAAGTCGTACATCTGCCTGAGAGGCAAGGAACCAACAGTCTGCATGCTAATGAGTCAGATCTGTGAAATGTATGTGCACGCAGCACTTAATTTCTGAAACAGGACTAGAGTCTAGAAGTGGACGAACAACCATAATTTGCTTCCGGAGTTTGAAGCCTGTGAAAGTAAAGAAGAAGAAGAGACAGTAAAGTAGTAGAAATCTATGAAAAAACAACAACAAAAGCATGCAGGAGTTGGGTTGTGCAAAGTAAAGGGTAAGCAAATAAATAATTATTAAAAACAAATAAATGTGTTTGTGTGGGTGTTTAAGTGTGTATACTTGTGTTTGACTGTTTTTTATCTATGTTGCGTGTGTGTGCGCGCGTGTGTGAATGCGTGCGCACGTGTTTGTGTTTCTGTGTGTGCTCAAGCTCGGGTGTTTATGAAAGAATGTTGGGCGCTTCTTTGATTTATTTCCTAATATGGCGGCATGCCACATTCTGGCCATAAAATATCCAAAAATATCAGAACGACGGTGTTCGCGTATATCTAAAATACGGACTTTCTACCAACGAACAAATCGCGGCAAAACTAGGATTACTTGGCAA